GGGACCAGCCCATCCCTGGTGCAGATGAGGGAGCTGAGGCCACAGTGTCAGACTGCTCCGAGGTGGTCAGGAGGTCGCCAAAGAAGAGAAGTTGGGGCTTGCTGGCTTGTGATGACAGGCAGTAGCTCCCTCCCTTGTATCTGACCTGGGGACAGATTTGGAATTCATTCCAAAAGTTGCTGTTTCAATCTCTTAAATCAGAATAATTACACAGAGTCACAGTGCAGCCAGGGTGAGTGAAACAAGCCACCATGGGGATAGTAGTGTATAGGAAGAGGGATTGGGGAAAAAAAAACCAAAAAACAAAAAAAAAAGGGAAAGAAAGGTGAAGAAGGAAGTTAAAATTAAAAAGACCAAGGAGAATAAAATTATAAAGTTTACAGCCATGCTGTGTCGGCTACTTAGACTCGTCCTCAGCAGATAGCTCTTAGGAAAGGGGAAGCCTAGGGATGACAGGCATCATTAAATGGCAAGGCTTGAAAGTTCTTTCAAAACAGAAAGGCAGCACTGGAGGAAAAACCATCATGAGATGGAAATTTGGAAGATTTAGAGGTTACTTTGGAATATTTAATTCTGAAGTGTGAACGTATTGCATGTTGTCATGTAGCAAAGAAGAATAGATACCTCAGCCTTTCTGAGTCTCCTTCTTACTCCTGTGCATACTGGGGAGGAGAAATTACCAATCGTACGGTATGATTTGAAGTCAAAAGAAATTTTGCCTTTGAAAACAAAACCAAATTCTGTTGTGATCCGCACACAGCTCAGCTGCATCCCCATGTGATGGCTTCAGTTGTTACCGGCAGCCCCGTTCTCCTCCTCCTTTGGGCATGGTGTGTCCTAGACATGCCTGCACCACGGGAGCCCAACAAGACCGTCCTGGGTCCAGGACGTCTCCCTCATTCAACTCAAAAACCAGATGGAGAGCTCAACTCTGACCTCTGGGGAGATTTAGGAGAAGGACCAGAAATAGAGGTGAATTCATCAATGAAGCATCATTAGCCGTCAGGCTTCCTAAACTCTCGTCAGTACATTATCACCAGCTGTCCATTGTCCATTTGTCCCTTGCCATAACAAGGAACCCCAAATTCAAGGTCACCTGCCAGTTGGATCAGTCAGTTCGTACAGCCGGAGCTCCCGAGGTGCTCCAACGAGAACAGTTATTTATGTCACTCTGTCCTGCACTGTGCCCATTAGCTTGCGGTAGAGAAAAGTCCGGTCACGAGGCAGAAATACAACATTTGATATTGCTGTTGCTGCTGCCAGAGCGTTAAATGTTCCCTAAGTGGTAACTGTCTTCTGCTAATGCAGATGCATTTCTTTTATGAGTTAGCTGATTGCTGTTCTTGCTCCATGCTCGCTGTTCTTCCACTATGGCTGCAGCCAAGAGGGATTAGGGCAAGCAGAGGCTGTGCTCAGATGGAGACCTGCAGAGAAGGATGGGTATTTTGACTCCACCAGAAACGCTGCCCTCTGAATTGTGTCAGAACAGAGGAATTGCCAGCCAGGTCTTCATCTGGTTTCTGGTTTGCATCTTCAGTGCTAGTAGGCAAGACCTCCCTTGGTGCAGGTGCATCAGGGCTTTTGTGTCACACCGTGGCCATGGCCACAGCAGGTCTCACTCAGATTCCCCAGGCAGATGCCTGCTCAGCTTTTACTGCCCAGCTGGGTTTCTCCTCACCCTCTCCCTGGTGTAGCTCTGCTTCCACCTACCCCTTCATGTTGCCATGGACCATAGCTAGGAGTCAGAAATTTCAGGCACTGGTTTTAGTCCTGGGACCAGGTCTTACATTCTTTTAATACCAGGACTAGAAAGCTCCCTGAATCAGAAAGGAGCATCTTAATTTCGTAGTTACTTCCACCACTCTGCCTGGGAAACTCTTCCACACACTAAGGCTCCTGAGTGCCAGGCTACCCGGCAGCCAGGCTACACTTTACATCAGAAATCCAGCAGGCCATTTTATTTATTTCCCTTCCTTCATCACACAATACTTCTCTCTGTTTTCTGGCTCAGCAAAGCCATAGGAAAACAGTCTATCATCAGACACAGGCATGGGTAAGACCTATCAGGGCATGAAGCCCGATTGTCCACATTCAGTAAATTCACCTCAAAGTGAACCGCCGTCCCCTTACAGGCTGCCTTTGATGCCTGGTTTCAGCCCCTTCCTTTTCCCGTGAGCAACGGTGGATGGGACCACCCCAAAAACAGCCTCTCCAGACATGAGAGAGACCAAGTATCTCCCATTGCTCACCAGCAGCTGCCCTGTCTGCTCGAGAACGGGCACCGGCCGCTGTGTTGTGGCACGGAGAGCGGCTGAGAGGTGGACGGGCAGGAAAACCCCAGGGCTTGCGGGGAACTGCCGCAGGGTTCAAATTGATCCTCTGGCTGGGAAATATTGGGATGAAGCATCCAGAGCGCTCGGCAGCATGGGCAGTGCAGGACGCGGGTGTATTCAGGCAAAGCTCAGGAGGTCAGCGATTATATCTTGAAGTGAATGTTTAACTTTTGTTGGCTTTTGATGACTCAAGGTGTCTTTTATGAGGCAAAATTAATGCAAGTGCTTCTCTTTTTACAGTGGCCACATTGCCCAGGAAATGAAATGTCATGAGGGGAGCAAAGCTCATTAGTTTGGTGCCATAAATGGTTCTTCAAGGTCTCAGAAACCCTATGATTAACGTAAATATAGACAGAGGCAATTACAAATAAGCACTCATATAAGCCCCAGCTTTCCATCTAAAATCGCGGTCCGCAATATCCCTCTTTGGATGTTCACAGATGTGGTGACCTAGAGGTAAGGGACATTTCACATAAATCATGGCATAAACCAAAGCCTGAGGAAGGAAAGCAGCCAGCCCAGGGTGAAAGTGAGGACAGCAGAGCACGTAACGGTTATCAAGGCACCAGCCAAGGATTTTGAGGTTCACCCTCAGAATTACCTCTTTTCTGGAGCAATTTGAAGCAAATGCTGCCCCAGCATGCTTCCTCCACACTGCAGTCCCCTCTCGGGTGGCTGCTGTTGGGTGGACTTGTTGACGCTCCTTAGCACAGGGCAGAGTAGTTCGAACCTTGTAAGAACTATCTCAAGTCTTCACCTTGCAATGGCTGAAAAAGTGGAAACCTTGTCAGTTTTTGCTAGTGAGGTCCATAAAATCCACCAGAAGATAATGTCCAAGGGAAGGATGAGAACGAGGGAAGACGGGAGGAGCAGGTCAGCATCACGGGGAGACTCCCTGGGTCAGCATCACGGACCCTCAGAGCTGCTGGGGAAGACGGGAGGAGCGGGTCAGCATCACGGAGAGACCTCTTGGGTCAGCATCACAGGGAGACCCCCTGGGTCAGCATCACGGGGAGACCCCCTGGGTCAGCATCACGGACCCTCAGAGCTGCTCCTTGGCCAGGGCAGAGCCCTGCGGTGCCCTGGGTGCGGGTGTGCGTGGGTTCGTCAGAGATTGTACAGGTCTTGCTCTGCGTTTTCCTCTTAAGCATTATGCATTTATTCAGAATAGACCCAAGCGCCAAGAACGAGGCGTGTTTTGGGAAAGCCAAAGCATGGCCACCTTGCCTGCCTCTGTGGCAGCCATGCTGCCAGACAACCATGTTGATGCCACACCAGGTAAGTAATGAAGGAACAGCAATGTTCAGGCAAAGCCAAGCAGAAAACGCAGGGTCCAGCCTCGCTAAAACCAGGAGCGGATTAGGAGGAGCTGCAAGAGGAGCTGTAGCCCCACTAGCAGGTCCAGTACAGCCTGGGCTTCCAGCCTGGCAAGGCAGTTGCCCTCTGGAAAGACGCTTGTTCACATTCAGTTGATAGAGGGTGACCAAAATCCGCTACGAATAACATAGGTACAGTGGATGTGCCTTTAAGCAGGGCGGGAGAGCAACAACAATTCTTGAGATCCTTCCAACTCTGTATTTCTGATTCTGTGAGATCTCATTGTAGTACAGGGCTCAAATTCAGTCCTTAAAATGAAACCCCTCAGACTCTTCCCCTCTTCAGAAGACCCTGGGAGCCTGAAAGGAGGCAGCAGGACTCATAGAACCATAGAATCACAGAATGTTTTGGGTGGGAAGGGACCCCTAGAGGCCACCCAGCCCAACCCCCCTGCAGGGAGCAGGGACACCTTGAACCACATCAGGTTGCTCACAGCCCCGGCCAACCTGCCCTGGAATGTTCCCAGGGATGGGGCCTCCACCCCCTCTCTGGGCAATCCCTGCCAGGCTTTCACCACCCTCATGGTAAAGAATTTCTTCCTTAGATCCAGTCTAAACCTCCCCTGCTTCAGTTTAAAGCCATCCCCCCTTGTTCTGTCCCAGCTGGCCCTACTAAAAAGCTTGTCCCCCTCTTTCCTCTGGGCCTCCTTTAAGCCCTGAGAGGCCGCACTCAGCTCTGCCCCGCAGCCTTCTCTTCTCCAGGCTGAACAACCCCAACTCATGCCTTGTCCTTGGGCAGGACTCTAACTGGTCAGGCCCAATGGCTTTGGGACAGTAATTTCTCCTTGGGAAACGACGTCTTTGTTTCCTTGGTGACATTTCCACAAAACACCATGTTTACGTCTCATACTTGGGCCTCATTCAGACAGCTTGCTCGAGAGCCTCATCGCACCGAGAGCCGCCGTACAAGCCAGAAGCTGTAATGAATGGGTGTGAGCTTAAACAGCAACCACTTCCCACCCCCAAAATAAACCGTAAGAACACTGGAGGCAGCTATTGCCTTTTCTTAAAATACTGATGATTTCTTGTCCATGGTGCCAATCCTTTGCAGCGTGGAGTGTAGCCAAGCCTGATTAGCCGGGATCACATGTTGCCAGTGGGGCTAATGAGGTTTAGCCTTCATTCCCACAAGCTGATCCTCCATCCCCACCATTTTACATCTCACCTTGAGTTAAGAAATTGTCCATCTTCAGAGCGCACTGGGCACGGCCACGGGGGATTTGGCACGCTGGCTATAGTGTGGTTTGCTGCAGTGGATGGGCAGTGACAAAAATTATCCCTCTTCCCCCAGGTCCTTCCATCGTCCCACTGCAACGAGCAAAGCCAACACTGGGCAACCCTCTAAAATGTTTATTTGGACCAGTGGCCGGAGCTCTACATCTTACAGACATGATGAGAAAAGGTAAATGGCACCTATGCTGATTGTCTCTTACAGGTTTGGAATCTCTGGGAGTGTGGCCTGTAGCTTCTCTTCAGTGGTGGCACTGGAGAAGTAGGAGGGATGCAAAGGGTGTCCCCCTCCTTGCCTCTCACCATGCCCCCGCCCCAGCTACTGCTCCACTACCAACAGGACAGACGATGGGGGCCAGGGCTGATATGCCAAGCCAAAACAGAGTGGAGGGACAATGCCAGAGCCATGGCCAACATCACAGGCTTGCAGCCCCAGCTCCAACCCTGGTGACGCCTCCATTGGCATCAGCCCGCACCCCCACTCCAGACCACACTCACACAGTGCCTCCCCCCCAGCCAAATCCCTGTAGGACATGTAGACGCCTGGGTGGTGCATCCAGCCGTCAGAGATGTTTGTGTGTGTGAGGACAAGCATGGGCAGCCCACCAGCCCACTTCAACAGTGTTGCTGGAGGGAGTAGGCTGAAGGAGACAGAGGAAGAGATGAGTTACTGGATCTCCCAGGGGAGCAGGGAGTTACACAGAAGAGGAGGGAAGGCAAGGAGAGGTTTAGAACCTGTCCACAGACAAAGGCAGCACTCGTTTGGGAATGAAAGAAGTTAAATATCCCTGATGAAAGAAGAATTGTCAGTAATGATGAGACTCATCCTTCCAAAAATCTCTCTCCTTTGTAGTGAGACTCACTGGACAGCTTGTCTTGTCTTGTCGCAACCAGACACATTTCCCTTTCTTTTCTTTTCTTTTCTTTCCCCCTTCCCTCCCTTGCCTCCTCTCCTTCAGTTCCCCTTGCAGTCACTATTAAATGCAATCACAAAAAATCAGACTCCGGTGAAACAAAAGCAGAGGTCAATGTATCTACAGTGCCAATTAGCGAAGCACACTCTTCAGTTATTCTAATGAGACATTACTGCTGGCATCTGCTTGGGAAAACGCGCTCCGGAGTTGAGGCAGCAGAGCTGCCCGCAGGACGCCGAGTCCCTTTGGAGAATCACTCCATTTGCTGAACTTTTCTGCAAAGGCTGCATAGGTGCTCAGCTCTTTTGATAACCTGATCCCAAGCAGATATTTTGAAGGCACGAAGACCAGCTCAGCAGCAGGTTTCCACGAACTTTTGGATGGAACTGGTTATCTAGCTGCCTCGTGTACTTCTGCAAGTCTCCTCTTGAACTGAATTTCCCCCAGGCTAATGTTCTGCGTTAAAGCACTGTCATGGGCAAGATGGTCCAAGGTTAGATAGACACTCATAGGAGATACCTGCCCATGCGCTGGGCTGGCTGGAAGCCACGGGCTCCTGATTAGCATGGCCTTCAGCTCACACCATGCCTTTTGGTGGGATTTATTAACTCGAGCTGAGCGCCGCGCTGCACAGGGCTCGCCGGCAGCCGGCCAGCCCAAACCCTGGGCTGAGCTTGCCCTGCCTGCCCACAGAGATAAGGGGGTAGGGAGCAGCGCCCCTGGACTTAGACGCCAGCCGCAGTGATTCCAGGCACCTTTCCAAGCCTTGGGGTGGGCTTATTTCCCAGGCGGTCCCGCAGAGCTGTGCAGAAGGAATTGTTCATACCCTGTGAGCGATTCCTAAGATGCGGGAGGGAGAGGGAGGGAGAGAAAACGGAAAGAGGCGAGCGCTGCCGCAGCCTCGGGACTGCAGAAGGGAAGTGTGAACGCAGAGCAAGTGTTGCTGGTGGGAGAAACTCCTCTGCCAGCGTCTGGTGGTGATTTTAACATGTGTAAGGTCACCGGCGGCATCACTACATCAGGCAGGCGGTGCACTGTAGAGAAATGACTTCCCCTAAATGACCTTTTCCTAGGAAGTTTTGTTCTTTAAACTTCAGACAGGAAGATTGTCGGCTGGGGCAGCAAACTTCTCACTGCACGCGTGCCCCGGCCGCTGGCTTTGGAGGGCTCGCACCCCACTGCCCTGGGCACCCAGGGGTCACTGCTGCGGACAAATCGCCTCCTCCCAGGCCGAAGGTGTCTCTCCTGCTTTTGCAGGATTGAGCCCAAAATGTACGTATGTCATTGCTGGTTCACAGCACATCTGCTGTGCCCCAACCGCTACTTTTCAGGCTTTGGAAACCTAGTCAAGCCTTCGTTCTTTCTCAGCTGTCAGTTATGTTTTCCACAGCACTGTAAGCTCAGAAAACCAAAGCTTTGGCTTGGTTTGGTTTGGTTTGGTTTGGTTTGGTTCGGTTTGGTTTGGTTTGGTTCGGTTTGGTTTGGTTCAGTTCAGTTCAGCCCAGTTTGGTGGGGAAGGGGGAAGGAACTGAGTGAACGGAATCTGTTCGTAGTCATAGAATCACAGAATGTTTTGGATTGGAAGGGACCTTTAGAGGCCATCCAGTCCAACCCCCAATGGGGCTGGAATGATAGGAATGCTGTGATTGCGGAACACAGTGATAGGAATCCTTCTACGACCATCACTGAGACTTCTGTGAGGGCTCCACAGAGATTTCCCGTTGCCGTAGTTCTAATAAGAAAAGCTGATGCAGCTAAATATACCCTGCAAGGAAAAAAAGTAGAAATTGGCTTCTGAGCAGAAAAGTCCCTGAGCATTGGGAATTCTGCAGGGAAGAGACAGAAGGGGTTTTGACCCTTGCATTCAAGGATTTCTGGTATCAGTAAACACCTCAGCGTGAGGTAATTTGAGTGACATCTGCACAGTGACCGTGATCTCAGAGAAGTGAATGAGAGTGCAAAGTCACTCTGAATGACGCAGGCAGGCGGGCACCCCC